TCTACGCAAACTCACCCACCCGCTGGGGCCGGGGCTGGAGTCAGCACTGACACGAGCCTTGCAATGGGGACAGCAGGAGGCGTCCATGACTGTTTTTTTCGGGGTAGACAGTATGCTGAATGGGTCCTGGATGGGGCACCAGCTCAGCGAGGAACTTGATCCCTACGGGCCTCAGTTTCTTTGTCCATAAAATGGGTGTGATGGACTGAACTGGTCCCCCCCCTCCCCCCCAGGTCCCTATGTTGAAGTCCTATCCCCAGCAGCACCGGATGTGACTGTGTGTGGAGACAGGGCCCTGAAAGAGGTAACTCAGTAAAAATGATGCCACAGGGTGCTCGTACCCATCTAAGAGGAGGAGGAAATCAGTTCCAGATGCCAAAAGGGAAGAAATGTGAAGTCACAGGGGGAAGCCAGCCATCTAAGCCCAAAGAGGGGCCTCGGCAGAAACAGCCCCGGGCGTCTCGGTCTCCACCCCCGGCCTCCGGGGCTGTGAGAAGATGAGTTTCCGTTGTTGGAGCCACTGGGCCTGACTCTGTTACTGCAGCCGCCCCTCAGCCCAAGGCTGGGCACGGCCACCTTCCCGAGGACATGCTGACCCCTGAGGCCTGCTGGCTGCAGGGAAAGCGTGGGTGGCTCTGTCTAGAGTCTTATCATCGAAGGACAGTCTTGCTCGGGGACATTGGGGGGGAACCCGGAGAACCCCAGGGGGAGGCTGAGATCTGGGCCAACAACCTGGTCACTCAGGAGCCTGCCCCAGGGCTGCCCACCAGGGTCAGCGCCGGGTGGGGCTGGCCTGGGGGTGCAGACGCTGCCCTGGGGACCCTGACTCCATTTTGGGGGCCCCAGGAGCTGCACCTTCTGTCTCATTTCCTCCTCCCTCCTCATGGCGGCGAGAAAGCTGCCTTCACCTTCATTATGTGGCTAAACACACCAGGCTCTAATACGTTATAATAAATCCATTTGTCAGATAGCCTTCCTGCTCTGAGCCAGCTGGGAGCAGCGAAGAAGTGGGCTCTTACCTGGGGGTGGAGATGCCACAGTTCCAGGCCAGGATGATGCCCCAGGCTCCGGGGCTGGGGCGGTGAGCAGGGAGGGGCAGGTGCCGGGCTGGGCCGGCTGGGCTGGCAGGTGTGGGCAGTTGGGAGTCAGGCAGGTACTCGCCGCCTGAATAACTTGGCCCTGAGTCTAACTTCCTTTCTCCGTGTTGCCGCATTTCCCCTGAGACTTATTTTGACGCTCTCTGGCCCTTGAAATAAACGCATACAAATGAGCCGTTGTTCTCCAACAGCGGGTCAGCTTTGGGGTGGAATCCCCCCTCTCTCCTCCCCGCTCCCTCCCATCGCCTCCTTCCACCCGCACCCTTTTCCTCTGCGGACATCAGCTGAAACCGCTTGTCCTTTCTGCTGAATAACGAATGCTTTTGCCACCGTCAGGCCACGGGCTCGTTTACAACCAGATGAATGGGTCTGTCTGCGCTTCCCTGGCCGCCGCACGATAAACTGCTTCATTTTCCTAAATTGAGTCCTCCACTCCGACTGCACGGACTCCGGGGAACGCGGCGGCAGCCGTTCTGCGGGGTCAGGGGTTCTTTCAATGATTCCCTGGGTCCCCCGCCAGCGGCTGCCACGCTGGCCCGGCCTCCCACGCCGGCCCCGGCCCCCACGCTGGCACAGCTGCCCGGGCTCCGTTCTAATTTAGCTCTGGGGGTGTCGCTCAGTAGGTCTCCCCTGTTCTCTTTTGTGTGGACCGTCAGCATTGGTGCCTCTGTGAGGCTGCGGGGCTGCGCCTGCCCTGGGCCTGGCTGGTACCCCAGCCCTGACCTCCGCTGTCACAGGAATTTTACTTATTACTTCTCTTTTAAAAAAATTATTATGTAAAGATAAAACATGCTAACAGTGCCACAAAGATATACAGCCCCAAGCCAGCCTGCTCCTGCCGGAGGTTCAGTAGCTAAACGACACACAGACTCTCTCTCTCTCCCTTCCTCTCTCTGAAACCAATAAAAATATATACACTAGTCCCCGGCCCCCCAACCCCCCCCCGCCTCTCACTAGCAGCCTGCTGGCTGCCCCTCGCCCTGCTACAGAGAATCGCCCGCCCACCTCCTTTCTAACACGAAGAGTAGCAGAGCCTGTTTCTGCAGCTGCCATTTTACTCAAAAATATATATTCGTGCTGCCCAGCCAGCATGGCCCAGTGGTTGAGCATAGACCCATGAATCAAGACGTTGGCCTTTCGATTCAAGGGCCGTGCATATGCCAAGATTGAGGGTTTGATCCCCAGTAGGGGGCATGCAGGAGACCCTCTACTCATCATGGATCTCTCTCTCTCTCACTCTCACCAATAAAAATACATCCACTAGTTCCCAGCCTCCTTGTTCTTTCTTAAGAAGCGGAGAGTGTGTGTCATCTAGCTACCGGATCACTGGCTTGTTCCCGCTGTTCCACTTCTGAAATATTCAGGGAGCAGGATTTTACAGGCGCCCTCTGCCCCTGAGCCCAGGGTTCCTGTTTGAAGCCGCAGCCCGCCAGGCTCTGCCTGCATTTGTCCGTCTGGCTGGCTGCCTTCGGAGCGCGGGGACTTGCTGGGAGCCGTGAGGGGCACGCACTGACCTCGGATAGCTAGGCATTTTGTGGTGAGAACCGCAAAACTTAGCATCAACAATGCCATTTCTATTCGCATAACCCGGTGGTCGGCAAACTCATCAGTCAACAGAGCCAGCTATCAACAGTACGACGACTGAAATTTCTTTGGAGAGTCGAAAACCGACTTCTGCGCATGGGCCACGAAGTTTCAATCGCACTGTACGTGCGCGCCCACACGTGGTATTTTGTGGAAGAGCCACACTCAAGGGGCCAAAGAGCCGCATGTGGCTCGCGAGCCGCAGTTTGCTGACCACTGGCATAACCCATGGACACAGACAATAGTGCGGTGAAGGCCTGGGGGCGTGGTCACGGGCCTCGCAGGAAGCTCCCTGTCCCCAGGACTGCTTTGTCTTGTGATCTGAGCCTCAGTTTACTTGGTTTATTGTGAAAAATAAAAAGGCGGAGCTCCTTGTTAAAAAAAAAAAAGAGAGAGAAAGAGAAAAAAAAGATGGCTTTAAGACTATTAAAAGGGAAAGTTTTATCCTATTTTCCATGTTTTTTCCCCTCAGGGTAATTCTGCTACTTAATCTCGTACTCCCTCAGGCGCAGGGATACTCAAGGGGCAAGCGCAACTCTCGTCGGCATCTGGGGGGGGCCTGCCCCACTATTCGGGGCCCTGCCTGGTCCCTCAGCCGCTGGACTGACATGCCACGTCCTTTTTGAGGGTGGATAAGCTGCCAGGCATCACCGTTCCTGCAGACTGGCTGCTTCCACCCATGGAGGGGAGGCCACCCCGAGAGCACTGAGCCTCAGCGCCACTCTGTGGGCAGCTGGGTCAATGGGCAAGAGGCTTGTGAAGAGTCTGTGGCCTCAGAGTGCAAGGAACTGCCCTGCAGAAATGCAGGCACAGCTGGGGACGCTTGGGGGTTTACGAGGCACAGGGATTGGCAGCAGGGTTGCAGCAGTGAGTGTAGGAGGAAGGGCGGCCTCAGACTCAGCAGCTGCAAGGCCCAGGCTGCTCCAGCGGCTCTCCCTCAGCCCCGCTGGATGCGAACGCACAGCAGCCCGGGCCTAGCACAAGGACAGTGTGTGTCCTGAGTCCTGTGATGTCAGCTGGCACTGACTGACGTGGGGACGCATCCTGGGATGACATGCGAGGCAGGCGGGGCACAGGGAGAGCCTCTGAGTGTGTCTCTGTTCAGCATCACCCAGCCACACACAAACGAAGGCTTGTGACCTTGTCCTGGGGGCTGCGTGCGGGGCCCCAGGGTGCACAGGGTCTGAGCCGGCAATTCCTGGCTGGGTGAGAGACTGAGGGAGCACAGGAATCCCAAGGCTGGCACTGGGAGGGCAGGTGTGTGTGTGGGGGGGTGAAGGCAGCCACCCGTGAAGAACTAGATGAGATATGCAGTGCTGGCTGCAGTCCCAGTGTTAGAGCCGGGGCTGCAGGCCGGTGATGGACCAGCTGAGAGCTCTGCAGGGATCGCCGAGCACAGGTCCTGACTAAGCAGCGAGGACGGAGGAAGCTTCACATTCTGCCCTGTCCGTCAGACAGTCACCAGCCACAGGCGACCATGCAAAGTCACTAAATGCAGTGAAATAAAAACATCAGCTCCCCAGTCGCATTAGCCTCTCATGGCCAGGGGCCACCAGGAGGGACAGTGTGCACACAGGCCACTGCCATCACTGCCGAAAATCCCATGTGAAGGCAAATGACTCCTTACTGTCGTACATCGAACACATGGTGAGACCACACTTAAAATACCTTCAGTTAAATAAGACACTACCAATATTAACTAACTTCACCGGCTTCCTTTTACCTTTTTTTTACTGTACACGATAGGAACTTGTAAATTATTCATGCGGCTAATTTACAATATTTCTATTGGACAAGGGCCCAGAACACACCTTCACTCACTCATTGTCCTCAATGCTACATCCATTCGATGCTATCCCGTTGGACCACGGCTGCAAAAACCCTTTCTTAACACACAGGTTACGGGGCAGCCCGAGGCAATGGCACAAATGCAAGCTTTGGAGCCAGAAAGTTCCAGGTCCAATTCTCAGCTCCACCCCCTACTCTCTGCATGGTCATGGCTAAAGACCTTCCCTTTGTGCCTCCGTTTCCTCCTCTGAACCGTGGGGTCAGGGACTGAGCCACAGCCCAGCACTGCTGTGCACCCCGGGAGACCGTGAGGGAGAGGGACGCTCGTGGGCCTGGCCCTTGGGCACCTCCGTCACTGCTGTTCTTACCCGTCCAGTGTTTTTAGCATGAAAGTAGGAGGGGTCATGGTCAGTGTCTCTGGCCTCCGACCAATTACTCCCCTGCCCCCTGCCCCCTGCGTCCTGCCTCAGCCGTCAGCCTCCTGCCCGGGTCCCACCCTCCCCAAAGCCTGTGGGCACAGCCCGCACTCACCTGCTGGCAGCTGCTGGCCCAGGAGGCCCTGAGGGCACCCCACTGCTCCGCGCGCCCGGCCTTGCTCTCCAGGTGCCTCCGCAGCTGGGCTTCCAGCTCCCGGCTCACCTGCTCGAGGGCATGCACCTGGGCCATGTACCCCACCAGGCAGCCCCCCAGGTCCTCGGCGGCGTCCAGGTCCCTCCCCAGGCCGGGAGCAGACGCAGAGGCCAGGCCCGAGCTCCGCAGCCCCTGCAGAAAGACACTGCTGATGCCCAGGGCGCGGCGGGTCACGCGGGCACCCAGGCCGCCCATGGCACTGGTCCTGGAGGCCGGGGGGCTCTCCAGGGAGGAGGACGATGACCGTGCCCCCCTGAAGGACGCCCTGTGCCTCTGGACGGGCACACTGGCACGGGTGGGCGCATCCACCACCACCACCCGCATTGAGCTCATCGCCTCTCTGTGCCCGCCGGGCTGAGAGTCCAGTGGCTTTTGGTGTGCGGCCCCGGCGGCCCTGTGGCCGGGCCACGGGCCTCTCTGGAAGCTCCCTGTCCCCAGGGCTGCTGTGTCTGCTGTTTTCCATGAGCTTCTATCGCTCACGGAGCTGAAAGAGAGCCGGCCGCCCAGGGCCGTGTGCAGAGGCCTCGCACAGTCTCTGCAGGGTCACGTGCCCCACCTCCCAGGTTTTCCTGCTGGTGGTGGTGGAGGCTGGATCCTTGCAAGCTATGGGGCTTGCGTGTGTTTGACTGAGTGAGGGCAAGGTGGGCATCAAGCAGCCCCATCTCACAGAGGAGTAAACTGAGGCTCAAATCACAAGTGGCCGAACCAGGGTTTAAATAACGCAGGCATTCCCAGGGCCAATGTCAGGGCTTTCTTTCTATCTACATCCTTCCAGGTGCTGGTGTGCGGCTGTGTGACTGTGCCCAGGGTCCCGCCAGGTGACTCTGGAGGGAAGCAGCCATGAACCAGCCATGGGGGGGTGGGCAGCCCTGGGGGCTCGAGAGAAACCAAGCCTGTTGCTTCCTTCACCCCCCCCCCCTCATCCTGGCAGCAGCTTCACGTCTCTCCTTGGTTTCCCTCTTCTTGAGAGAACCACAGCTCACCCACTGGGTGGGCTTGGCCACACTGTGTCACCTCTCTGGACCTTACGTCCCAGGCTCTGGCCTGGGCTCTGCCTGGCTAATGCACCGGGAAGGCTGCCCGCGGGTGCCCGAGCAACTGCAATGACAACATCCTCACACAGGGGGCGCTGACTGGTCTGCCAGGAGCTGCATCCTTGTGAATCCAGGATGTATGGCTCAAGGCTAAAGGAAGGGCTCAAACCAGGGATTGATGGGTATGATGACCCTCTACAGAATCGTAACCCTCACGGCCAGGTTAACTTCAGCTCCCTCTGATACTGACAACAAAGCCCTGAGTCCCGAGAGGGGTGGTGGAGGAGGGGCTGTGCCCTCATTCACACCGGTGCCTCCCAGACCCGACGAGAGGTGATTCTCTTTTGGAGAAATCACAAACACGTTTTAAAGGATCTGTCTTATCAAATAAATAAACGGCTAGTCCTATTAGCTCATCATTCCCACAAAACCCAATCTATGGTTAAAGTAGATGAAAAATAGAGCTGGATAGTAGGTGGTGTGGGTACTAAAAGAAGACTTAAGAGTTATTTTAAAAATGAGAAGGATACAAAATGTATTAGCAGCCGAATCCTCTGGCTAATAAAATAAGTTTATTTATATATACACGGTAGCTGAATTCTGTTGATAAGGAAAAATAAGTCATACACCCACATATGTATATATAACATATGCATCTCCGATCACATATATTATATATAAAGTTTACAAACAGACATCTTCCTATGTACACACACACATTGACAGAGTAAATGCAGTCGCAAACAGAGACCCCCACGGTCAGGATAACACGGCAGACACAGCACGCTGGGGAGGGTTTCGGGGCAGCATGTGACCTGCGTCTGTGTGGGACGGAGAGTCTTTACAGAGGGACAACCACGGAACTCACGTCCGGCACGTCCGTGCGACACGGAGGCCACACGTTTCTGAAGGCCATCGTTTCCAAAGGAGGATGATACGGAGACCACAGCAACAACACAGACATATGAGGCGACATTGAAGTCCGATCCCCAGTCTGACTATAAGAACATCTATATTCAAAATATATGCTATCAAACTATTTTTCTTTTAGAGAAAGGAAGCGTCCCAGCATTAAATCTCCCGGCCCAGCCCCTACCTAGGAGGGAGAGGATGCAGAAGCCCGCGTGTCTCCGAGGGTCTGACACCCACAGCGTGGGGTGGGGAGGCTGCCCCCGGAAGGAGGGAAGGAGGGAGCAGTGGGGGGAAGGGGAAATGAGAGCCGGGTGGCGAGTCCACGTGCTGACAGCCAATCGGTGTCAATGCAGAGGATGGGATGGTTCCTCTCCCAAGCGATGGCTTTGGCCTTCTCGTTTCCGTAAGATCGCAGGACGATTGAGAAGTCACAGCGCCAAGGCTTCTCACGGAAGCGCCTCCTCAGGGGCACTCTCCCGTGGCCTTCTGAGAAACGAAGCTGAACACCTAGAAGCTGAGCCCCTGACCATGTGATGCCTGAAGGGCCAGCAGCCTCCAGCTCGGGCGGATCTGTGTTGACACCCTCTCCGGAGGAAGGCACGGTGTGGGACGCAGACGTGGTGGTGCACGGGAGGCAGGCGTGTGCCTCTCGGAGGGCAGCCTCTCTTCGCCAGGGAAAAGCAGGCCTGTGGTTGGCATGGCAATGGGTCCCACTGTGTGGTGTCAGGGGGCCGGGGCCTCAGGATGAACTTCGGGGGACCCCGGCCTGCTCAGAGGGGTTACACTCAGTCAGTGGTGCCCGTCTGCGTCCTGCTTCAGTGATGGCTCTGCCGTCCTCTCCCCCGGGTGCCTTGGCTGTGTGCACATGGACTCCAGCGGGACCTGAGCTCTAAAGAATCCTCCGGGGTCACGCATGTGACATGCCCTCACTGCCCGGGGCTGCTGGGACCCGAGAGGGCTCCAGGACAGTTGTTAAGAGAAGCAATCGGTGCAACTGCTTTGCTTAGAAATACCTTTATTTTATAAAGCCACGGGTCATTCTGTAAAGTTTTTTTAAACCACACTTATAAAAAAAGACGCTGACAATTCTTAGGAAAGAAAGAGCTGAAAACGTTTCTCTGTAAGTCGGGGTTACACAAAGATTACATTTATAATATATATTTGTATATTTAGGGTGTAGAGCCCGAAGGCAGGGCATGGCAAAGCGAGGGCGCGGCGGTCAGATCTCGGATACCTGGTCGTTCCCCACAAACAGCGTTTCCTGGCAGAAGGGGTTGACGAGGACCATCCCCGTGTCTCTGTAGTCACCGTTGGCTGGGGAGCGCGGCTCTGAGAGCTGGTCCTGCGGAGACAGGGAGGAGAGGGCGTGAGCTGGGAGGGCTCCCCGGGTGGCCCTTCTTAAAGACACGGACCCTCCGATTGTGGGCAAACATTTTTCACCCGTTTCCCCGCCAGTGCCGAGGTGCAGAGCCCTCTCTCCTCTTTCGGGTTTTTACAGCAGCTTCAAAAAAGATTTCCTGCTTCCAGAGTCATCCCCACCTCAGCTTTCTGAGATGGTATTGCTCCCCTTGTCGAAGTCGGAGAGAACGCACCATGCTCCACACACACACCATATGGCAAACTGTGGTCCACTGGGGCCACAGACTCTTCTTCCTGCCTCTCCCTCACAGACCTCCGGGAGACCTTGCTGCTTTTTCTCCCTGACACACCCCACACTAGTCCACCTCTTTCCTGCCCTGCCACCCCCCATGTCAGAGCCTCTTCGGACTAAATGTCCCTTCCTGAGTCCCCCCAGAGCCAGGCCAGAATCCTGGCCCCACTCCTTGCAGAACTAGATGTGCGGAGGGTCTGAATCTCTGTGGGATGCGCTGTAGATAGAAGTAAACAACCCAGTCTGTCTCCACCACCCAGGTGTGGAATCAGGCCCTCCAGTGCTTGGGCGTCTGAAGGGCTGAGGCCCCACCCACCGCCCAGGGCTGCATGCACCCGTGGGCCACGGGATGGCACTGGCCAGGGCTGCGAGCACCCGTGGGCCAGGACAGCTGTACTGCCTCAGCCTGGGGAACTGGTTCAGGGGAAAAGGCATCAATTGTTCCAGTTCTAAACAGGTGGAGCCTTAGGCCCTGCAGGCGGTTCCAGGGCCCGGGACTGACTGGTCTAAGACAGACCTGCTTGCATGTCTTCTCTCTCTTGGAGGCCACAGTGAATGCTCTGAAGTTTCTTTTTAAGTAAAACATGTAATTTTGAGCAATATGTACTGCTTTCTGGAGAATAAAGAGATGAAAAAAGGGAAAGGCCATTTGTTGGTGAAGTGTCTTCTCTGATGACGGAATTCCCTGAGCGCCCAGCTGAGGGTGACGCACGCCAGCCCCTCTGTAAGGACGACGGGGCGTGTCAGTGGGCAGAGCCCTTCTCTGGGGCTTTGGTCTGAGCTCAGAGGGACTGTGGGGAATGGTCCCGGCTTGTCCCTTTACAGTCTCAGAAAGCAGGTGCCCGCCCAGGGAACCAGAGACTTTTCTCTGTGTGAAAGGGAGAAAGTTATTTAGGAAGCGACTAAGGTAAGAAAGAAGAGGAGGAGGAGGTGGGAAGGGAGAGGGAAAGGAACGCAAGCTTGGAAAAGTTTCCCAGCACCTAATGGTTATCCGCATGGCCCAGACCTGTGATCTGAGGCTTTCGTCCACCCTAAGCGGGGCAGGCACCCGTGAATGGGCTTGGGCAAACGCCCCTGGCAGCCTCCTAAGTGGGCAGCGAAGAGGCGGTGAGTACACCCTGTGACCATGATCACTGTGGGTAGCCTGCGGTGCACACGCAGGCCCGGGGAGGCGGGACAGATGGTAGCTTCGCTCTGGCTCAGGGTGGGAACCTTTTTGCTGCCATGGGCCATTTGGATCCTACATCCAAACATCATTTGCGGGTCCTACAAAACTATCAACTTAAAAGTCAGCCTGGCCCTGACCAGTTTGGCTCAATGGATAGAGTCAGCCTGCAGACTGAAGGGTCCCAGGTTCAATTCCGGTCAAGGGCATGTACCTTGGTTGTGGGCACATCCCCAGCAGGGGAAGTGCAGGAGGCAGCTGATCGATGTTTCTCTCTCAGTGAAGTTTCCAACTCTCTATCCTTCTCCCTTCCTCTCTGTAAAAAAAATCAATAAAATATATTTGGGGGGCGGGGGAGAAACACAGCCTGCAATATTTAGTCAAACATTTAATTAACTCACCCCTAACCCCTGGACAAATGATTTCCAGGGTCCTTTTGGGCCTGTGGGCCGGACATTCCCCACCCCGCACTGAAGCACAGAGGGGAGTAGACCTCCTGGGAGGGAAACCGATAAAATTCACTCTGAACCCAAACTGAGCTTCGTGCGAAACCCCGAGCTTGTGTCGATGGGCAGCCCCCGCATCAGAGCCTCTGGCTGTGCCCGGTGGCCTGTGCTCTGGGCCGGAGAGACTCCTGGCCTCCCCGCAGTACACTCACAGGCACTGCCTTCCCACTTCGGTTTTCATGGGCCAATTTTGCAGAGAGAATAGGAGGAGTTTAGAGCTCAGGGGTTTGCAGTCCACACTCAAAGCGGGGCCAGCCTCTGCCTCGTCCTAAAACCAGGTAACACAAAACTCAGAACTTTCAATGACCCTCTGCTGCCCGCGACTAAAGTCCATCCAAGACCATGCCCATCCACCTGCCAATCCTGCACCCTGGCCTCTACGCACCTTCCCTGCGGAGTGGAAAGGGCACAGCTCCCAAGTCAGAGACCTGGGTCCCCAGCCCAGGTCTGTGTTGGGCAAATGCCCCTCAGCCGCACTGCATACCCTCGCCACCTGCCTCGGCTCCGTCCTTTGCTGGGTCACCTGCTAAGTCTTCTGGGTAGACTTCCCTTGAGTGCCCGCAGCTGTAACACCTCTTGCCTCTCCCCTAGTCTGCTTTGGCTGTGAATGATGCGTGAGGCTCAGACCCAAGCACAATGGTATCTGGGCTGCTTAAGAGCAAGCTCCCATCTCCACAGTCCCCGGACAGGAACATGGGTCCTCTGTGAATATTTGTTGGCTTGTTCTCAGGAACAGTGATTCCAAAACTTTGCTATGTGTGCAAGGCACCTGGGGTTCTTGCTGAAGGGCAGACCCTGACCCCAGGCTGGGCGGGGCTGCAGCCTCCGGTGCTGCTGCTGCTGCCGGGGAGCACACAGCTCTCTCTGGAGCCCGCGGCTCCGGGCAGTGGGGCCAGCACCTCCGGGGCACCCCTGGGCCGGGCTCCGTACCTCGGAGGTTTCGAGGGACTGGATCTCCCTCGGCAGCTCCACGGCGTGCTTGTTGAAGTAGTCCATGGTGATGGCGTTGTTCCAGTAGCTCAGGTTGTTCTCGGGGTTGGCCGCCTTCCTCTTCCTCCGCAGGCAGCACACGGTCAGCAGGACGGCTGCGGAGAGAGCCCACGTTAGAGAGCGGGGGCACCGGCCCGGAGCAGCATTCCCGAGGGACAGAGCCAGTCCCCAGGGGCGCGGTGACGGCCACCCAGTCAGCCACGACCCCATTAATTCACGCGTGTGCCCACTCAGCAAATACCTACGTACGCTACGTGCCTTGTGCCAGGTGCTGGGGAGGAAGGTCAAGGGTCCCGGCTTTCATAAGCTTCCCTTCTAGGGGTGTACGGAGGGTGCAGAGGGGTCAGACAATATATATGTAATAAACAATGAGTGAATAAGGTAAATCCAGATGGTGACAACTGTTCAGAAAAATAAGACAGGGCAAAGGGGGAGAGACAATGGAGGTGAGCTGGGGGAGAGAGTGCGTTAGTCATCATGGAAGGCTCCCTAGGAGGTGAACGAGAGCTAAAAACAGAACTCGATGGGAGAGGGGGCAGTGTGTTCCAGGTAGCGAAAACAGCATGTGCAAAGGGCCTGAGGTAGGGTCAGGCTTGATGTGGGAGAAAAGACTGGTGTGGCTGGAGTGGGGTGAGTGTGGAGGAGACTTAGGAGATGCCAGAGGTGTGTCCACAGGCAGGGGGGGAGGGGAGGGGGCAGGAGGATGGGCTGTAACTTCAGTTATCTGTGGGTGCCAAGTGCCACTCCTGGAGTCTGCTCCAAGAAAAGGCCACGCCCATTCGGAGGGAGGAGAGCGTAGCTGCAGAGAAGGCACGTGTGTTCTGAGTGGCTCTGCTGGACTGGTGAGGGGAGGGGGGCAGAGTCAGATGAGCCCTTGATCACCACAGGCGGCCGAGAGTGAACCTTCAGACACCTGGACTCCAATGTCTGCTGCTCGCTGTCCATGATTCTGCCTCACCAAGTCACTCTGAAGGCCAAGGCAGCACATTCGGGCCTGGTCGGGCTCTATGTGCCACAGCCTGCCGTGCGACCTGTCTGTTCAATCTCTGAGCCTCGGGGCCCAGAGAGGAAGGAGTACGTTTGGATGTTGCTGATGAACCAGGCGACAGAGTGACTGGGGCCCCAGGGAGGCTTCTGCGGTGGGAGAGCGGGGATGGCTGTCTGGGCTCCCACATGGAACAGGTGACGCAGTAACAAGGGTGACAGGATCCCTCTTGGGGAGAAGCCCGCAGTGAAGACTGGGCATCTCCTGCCCCAGTTTGCCATCACCGGGGCCTGTAAGGTGGCTGAAGCTGCAGGCCAGGGGTGGGCAGGATGCACCCAACATCCTGGAGGTGCCATTGACCTGTGCTGGGGAGAGAGGACCCCAAGCTGAGCTGTCCCAGAGGCTGGACCCTTGGTGACAATGGCCACCAGGGGGCAGCAGAGGACCATCTCTGTCCTCAGCAGCCAACTGGCCAGCACCAGGGAGCCTGTGTGTGCCAGGGTGTGGGGCAGCTGCAGAAGCTGGCGACCTCAGGGCCCATGCCCAGCCCTCTGTGGGAGGAATTCTCCCGGATGCAGGAATTTGGTAGCTCTCATCCCAGCTGCCGTCTCAACCTGAGAAGACCTGCAGACAAGGTCAAGAGATCGGGCAAGTTTCCATGCCATCCAATCCGCTTTGATCAGAAAGACTTTAATTCTTTTGATCACCATTCTTCTGGGTCCCCTTAAAAGGTTTAAGAAATATGAAAGAAATGTCTGAGCTATAAGAAATTTGAGCCTGGCTGGTATAGACATTTTAAAATTTGTGCATTTCCTCTACCCTTCCTTCTGAAGAGTCCTTTCTTCAACTGGTTGAAGGGAATTGGGGTGGGGGGGGAGAGGGTAAGAGGGAGACAGCTGTAGAACGCAGCCTGAAAATCTGCTCACTTACTCCACAGATGAGAAGGCCATGGCCAGAACACCTGGCTGGCTGGCCGCAGGTCACAGGTGTGAGTGGCAGGGCTGGGACAAGTTCCCAGGTGCTGTCTCCCTGTTTCTGCTGTCTCTGCTCTTCCCTGTCCCTGCTTCCCACCTGCCCCTGGGACTGGGTGTGCGAAAACTGGGGGAGTCAAGCTAGCGGCAGCCACAGACAGGGTAGGGAGAGGCGAGGCTGCCAGGGAGCCAGGCTGCGAACCTGGGCCGGCACAGGTTGCAGAATTCTGTCCCCTGACCTCTCCCACCCTGAATCCTGTGGGAATCTGGCCCTGGTAGGGCGGCCTGAGGGCTGGAGCAGAGGGTTCTGTCCCCACCTCTCTCTCCTTAATGTGTTGTCAGTGCTCCCATCCTGACTACATCTCTCTCACCGGCTCCCAGGGCCGCTCAGGCACCTGCCACAGTGAGAGCCGGCCTGGTGACAGAGTGTGCGCTTGGAGTCCAAAGACCTGTGTTCAAGGTTGGCTCTGCCATGGGTTAGACCAGGTGAGTCATTTCACTAGGCTGGTTACCGGGGGCCTCAGAGGATAGTAAGGAAAGTTAGAGACCACAAACGCAAATGCTTAGCGTGCTGCCTGACACACAACAGGTGTGTAAGTCACAGAGTCTCCTTGTTCTCCCAGCATCCTCCATGGCTGCGTGACTCAAGGCCACGGCTCCACCTGTGGCTTAGAACACTCGCTCTTTCAGCGACCGGCCTTCCATCCAGGAAAGAAAAGTACAGCTGTTAGACGTGTGGCATCTCTGACATATCCCCAGTGCTGACTTGGATGCCTTACGCCCGATTTAACCCACAAAGCGGCTGCCAAGGAAGCTGTTACTCCCCCTCCACCCCCCCAGGTCCAGAAGAGGCTCCTGGGTGTTGACACGATGGGCCCTGCTCACCCGGCTCGTCCCTGGGACTTGAACCCAGGCCTCTGTGACCCTTGGGTTGATGCCTGCTGTCCCGTCTTGCCCTGGACCCTGGAGGGGACGCGCCTTAGCACATACACAGCTCTGTGCAAACACAGGTGCCAGCCACCCGCTTCCGGGTCAGTTAGAAACTGCCCCGCTCCTCCAAAGGCACCGGCTGTGAAGGCTCCCCAGGATGCCACGATCTCTACTTCCTCGCGCTCTAAAGTGGAGGCGGACTCAGCAAGTGCTCGGGGCCTCCTGGGAGTGCCGGGGCAGCGCCCTGGACCTGTCAGATCTGTGGCAGGAAGGAGGAGTCCTGGGCCCTGAGTTGAGGGGGAGGCACGGTTCCAAGGACAGGCTCACTGTGTGACAGGAAATGGAAACGAACTCCTGCTGGTTCCCTGAGGACTCACCTTTCCCAAACACCTGCTAAACATGCCTCCTGATGGAGAAGGCCCAGCAAATCCTAACAGCAGGATGAGCCGTATCTGCCACACGACCTCTGCCACGCTCGGGGCACCTTCTCCATGCAGGCCCTGTGAGGGGCCTTGGAGGTGGGGGTCTCTTTGGAGAGGGTGTGACAGCCATGAAAATGCTGCACTCAGATCCCCTGCTGAGGGAGCACAGCTCAAGGGGTGGCCCAGCTGCTGCCCCGGGACCTGTCACAGCCAAGGCCCTGCTCCCCAGCTGCCTCCAGCCACGTCGGACAGCGATGGGTACCAGGGCAGGCCTGCTCTTACAGGACAGGGACGCCCCGTGGCCTGAGGACTCCACTGGCTCTTCAAACTGCATTACAGCCCGAGACTCCTCCTCCAGCCCCCCCCCCTTCCTTTTCTTTAAGCATTTAAAAAATTGATTTTAGCCGAGACCGGTTTGGCTCAATGGATAGAGCGTCAGCTTGGGGACTGAAGGACCCGGGTTCGATTCCGGTCGGGGGCATGTACCTTGGTTGTGGGCATATCCCCGGTGGGGGTGTGCAAGAGGAAGCTGGTCGATGACTCTCTCTCATCGATGTTTCTGGCTCTCTGTCTCTCTCCCTTCCTCTCTGTACAAAATCAATAAAATATATTTTAAAAAAATTGATTTTAGAGAGAGGAAAGGAGAGGAATAGAGATAGATACATCGACCGGCTGCCTTCTGCCTTCAACCCCCTATTGGGGATCGAGCTGCAACCTGGGCAAGTGCCCTGACCTGGAATTGAACCGTGGCCTCCTGGTTCATGGGCCGACACTCAACCACTGAGCCATGCCAGTGGGGCTCTCCCGCTCCTTCCGCAGGCAGCCCGCGGCTCTTCCTGCGCTCCAGCCCCTCCCCTTTAGAGGTCACCCCGCTTTGGTGTCTGCCTCCCGAAGGCCCCAGACTAACAGAGAATACCGGCCCCGTGTTTCAGGGGAGAAGGCACTGGACCGATGGTTAAGTAACTTGTCCAGGTCTCCCAGGCTGCGAGTGGGAAGCTGGGATGATGTCCAGGTGTGTTTGGTCCCCGAGCCAAGCCCTCCCATCCCAGGCTTCCTCACTAGCGGTCCACGCAGACTGAAGTTAGGAAATGAGAGAGAGCAGGGAGCGCTGACACAGTCAGGGTGGCCCGTCACTGTGCACCTGACTAACCGGCCCTGGAGGGAAGGAGAGATCGGGGTGCGATGAGCCAGGCTGTGGGCAATCCTTCCCCTCCTGGAGGCCGAGGGAGGAGGTCCAGGGGAGGCCTCAGCGTGTGGAAGGTGGCCAGACTGGTCGAGGCCATGGACCTGGGAGGGCCAGGCTGGGGACGTACTGCCTGACTCCCCAACTCTGGCTCGAGGGACTATGCCTGAGGAAGCCCAGGCAGTCCCCACCAGGGGGCGCTGGTTGGGCAGCACGGAGCAGTGCTGAGAGCCTGGGAATGATGCGGGTCAGCTGAGGACACGCCTGGACAGCCCTGCCTTGCCGAAGGCTGCTCCCTCCCTGTTCACCTGGCTCAGAAGCCTCCCAGGTCACTCTTCCTTCTCGCCCTGATCTCCTGTGGTGAAAGGTACACACACATTCGGACTTGACTGCCATTCTCAGAAAAACTAAGACAGCCATGAACAACCTTGTGCACACCGACGTGGTTTGTGAACCCTGCGCGGATGCTCCGGACGGAACCTACGGTGGAAGGGAGTGGACGCTCTGGGGGAAGGCACACACGGTCGCACACCGGGCTGGTGATGAAAGCATGCCCAGCTGGCATTGCTTCCTGCCCTCACCTTCCACATTCTCAGGACTGGATGTGGCCTGTGCAGGCCAGGCCAGGGAGCCTGGCAGAGACACAAAACTGGGCTGGTGAGAACCCAGAGGGCTGACAGTCCGGGGAGGGTCCATGCAGCACCAGGCCCAGAGCCTCCGGCGGGAGGTGGTGGGCCGTGTGCCCTGATGGTGGCAGCAGAGACCAGCTCAGGAGCCGCATGGCTCCCCTGGCCCAGCCCAGGGAGGCCTGGATCCCATCCATCCCACTCCTCAGCCCTCTGAAACCCTGTGTGGCGGTCTCTGACAGGCTCACCTGTCCTTTGGCTATTGGTGGGCTCAGACCTGGGCGGGCAGGGGAACTGGTGACATCCCTGTTGGGCGGGCTTGAGATTTGCTAAGACTGTCCCCCGATTCTGCTAGAGCAGGGAAGTCACCCATCTGCTCAGGGGTCCCCGCCATCTGGAGTCTGGCTTCTGGAAGGTGGAGAAAAGCAGGGCCAGGGCTGGACTGAAAAGCCAGATGCGAGGGAATCTATGTGTGGTCCTGCCTTCCACCCACACTGCCCGAGATACCCGTCAAATGGCCACGGAGGAGGACTTTCTTGAGAGGCTGCCCAGAGGGCTTCAGGATAAACGCTGGCATTGGAAAGATCTGAGACAGAACCCTTGGCCTGGGGTGCAGCCGTGAAAACAGTCTGCACCCACACGCACCTGTGCTTTGAAAGGGCACCGCGTCCTGCAGGGACAAGTATTCTCTCTTAATGCTCCTCTCCCCTGGGCCTTCCGAGGTGAACGATGACCCTGAGAAGTCGGGGCCATGACTGAGGACAGCAGCTGTGTGTGCAGGCAGCCAGGGCCGCCAAGGCCGAGGCAGGAGCCTCGGAGAGCGAGCTCAGGGGAGTGGAAATGCAGGACAGGCGCCTAAGGAAGTGGGGTCAGAGGTCCACGGGGATACAGGGTCCGCTTTGAACACAGGTGCATATCATCCTTGACCAAGTACCTGTCCCAGCCCCAGCGCCTGAAGGCTGTGCCAGAAGCATTCTGCCGGTGTGGTGCCAGGCGGTGTGCTTGCTTGTGCCATGGCTGACGTGCTTACGCACGGCTTAGGCAGCTCACGGGGCTCCTGGCTTTGCGGTAAGATCTGCTCTGCCCTCACACGCACACACAGCAAAAGGACTAGCATAGCAAAGCCCAGGTGTGGGCTGTAGGGAGCAAGGCTAGATCTACTGCTGTGCAGCCCGGGCAAAGAGGGCTCCGGGCAGGGGAGCGCAGCACACATCGCTGACTGCCCAGGGCTTGGCCCAGTGCCTGGCACACAACGGGCACTCAGGAGAGAGCGTGTTCTATCAGACAAACAGACTCCTCCACCAGACCTGGGTGGGCTCCCGTGTGATCCGGGCCCCGGGGAAGTCTCCGCCTGGTGACGGACTCCCCACCTGTAGGGGTGTTCCTCACCCGGAGGGTTTGTTTCTGTGTTTTATTCCTCTGGCGAGTCTGTTTTAAGGCTGGAATGGTTAAAAACAATGGGAACTCGCTTTGGAAACTAGAGCCTCTGGAGCACATGTGAAGGATGGAAAATCAGAAAGCTGTCTCCACTGTGGCTACTTCCTACTATGACCATGATTAATTGCTTATTGGCTAATCGTGTAATAGCTTCTCATGGTCATTCTTTGTGTGCTTTTAAATCCTCATTGAGGATATTTTCTCATTGTTTTTAGAGATAGTGGAAGAGAGAAGGAAAGACAGAGAAATATCGATGTGAAAAAAAACACACATCAATTGGTTGCCTCCTGAATGCACCCCAACCAAGGCCAGGCAGCAGCCTGCAACTGAGGTGCACGCCGTTGACTGGAGTCGAACCTGGGATTCTTCTGTTTGCAGGCTAACACTCTATCCCCTGAGCCAACCAGCTAGGGCTCACCCTTCTGTTTTAGAAGCAGACCACCAGTTTTAAGGATACCTTGTGGCCCTGGCTGGTGTGGCTCGGTTGGTGAGAACATCATCCTGTGCACCAAAAGGGTTGCGACTTCAGTTCCCAGTCAGAGCACATGCCTTGGTTGTGGGTTCGATCCCTGGTTGGGCATGTATGGGAGGCAGTCGATTGATGTTTCTCACATCAATGTCTCTCACACTAATGTTTCTCTCTCTCTCTTTCAAATCAGTAAACATATCCTCGGGTGAGGATGAAGGAAAATAAGAAAAGAATACGCGTGTGTTTCCATGAGCGATAATAAAGCTGCCTAATGAAACAATAAAACCTGCCACCTGCAAATATATTCATTTTCTGTGACCTGGGTCCCCGAGCAGGCAGGCTGCTCACCCTGACAGGGGAAGTCTGCTCTGCTTTCCAACTGGGAGGAGACAGAGAGCCGGAGCGGCGGCTCCTGGAGAGGAGCCAGAATCCCGAGTAGACAGATCTGGCTGGAGCGCAGTGCCCAGCAGAAACCACGCCGTGTTAAAGGCACACACTCCTGCCCTGATGGCCAGACGACCTGCCGTACGGCTCCTCTGTGTGAAGGGTCTGGGCTGGGCTCCTCCAGGGCGGGTGAGCCCAGGCTGAGACGTGACGGTCAGCACAACCCACCACGCCGATGCCAGGATGTGCTGCCTGACCACCGCACTCCTCTGCGTGGCTGGGCGTGTGGGACGCTGTCCTCTCCCTTCTGGGGGGCAGGACAGGCTGGAGGCCACTGGAGGGGCCGTGATGGGGGCCAGCCAGGGCTATGCAGCCCATGCAGGGACCTGCAGGAGCAGGGTGAGCAGCCTGGGAAAAGGGAAGTCTGACCTTGAGAGCCATTTCCAATGTGGTGGGGCCAGCAGACTGACTGGTTCTGTGCAGTTTCAGAGGGCATGGCTTAGGAAACGAGTGAAAAGTACAAGGAGGCAAATTCTGGCCCTCGAGAGAGCACGGGGCTCCTCCCCCTGAGGGCTCAGAGGGAGGCCGGATGGTGGCTATGTGGGGTGCGTGGGGTGGGGCTGAGGTCAGTGAGCATTCTTGTGAGGTTATCAGAGAGACTGAGAACCTCGGATCAAGCCCCTGGCGAAGACACAAAGGAAAGGAAGCCCTCGGTCCTCAGTTACAGCATCAGGTTCTCTATGGAGACACCGGGGCTGGGTATGAGGGGGAAGTAGCAGCAAGGAAGTGCCGGTCACCTGGGGAGAGCCCTTCCCCACCAACGCCCGTGGAAGCCGTGGACAGAGGTGAGGTCCTTGCGGCATCCGGCTCGCACCTCCGTGAACACGCAAAACGGGGGAGCGAACGGCGCAGTCCACAGGTGGCTGAGGCCTCCGGTGGCCACAGGCACTGTTTGCCAGGGCTGACAACTTCCTGCAAGACCACAGCCGCTCTGCCCTTCTTTTGTGGGGGGTGAGAGACAGGAGGAGGGGAAGAGATGCGGGAGGAGAGGGAAGATAGGAAGGAAGGTGGAAGGATGGAGGAGAGGAGGTGAGGGCTCGCTCTGCTGGAATTTGCAAGTGCCCAGTCTCATCCAGGCTCCTCGCTGCTACGTCACCACAGGCAGCCGGAGGCGACCCTGGAGGACCGGGTGGTGCCATGGCAGGGGCACTGGCCTGGCAGATAGGCACTGTGGGCTCTTTCCCAGCCTGCCTCTCGTTAACCCTGGGGCCTCCAGTGAGTCACACGGCTCCCAGATCGGCATTTCTTCCTGCAATGTGCAGGAAGAAATGCCGGGGACCCCTGGCATTTCTTCCTGCACATTGCAGGAAGAAATGCCGATACAGGGACCCCTGGCAGTGGTCCCTGTATGACCAGTGGGCACCAAGCTGTGGCTGGCAGAGCTGAGGACCAGGGCAGGGAGAACCACGATCCCTGCCATGCCACCTCCTTCCTGGGATTCTGAACAGCTTTGCCCACCTGGTGGGGACTGTCTAACCCTGGGTCAGGGGGTTCTGGGCACAGGCAGCTGGTGTGGAGGAGAGGGAGTGGGGGTGGGTGGGGAGGGCCAGACACTCACAGCAGGAGGAGATGGGCACGCTGATGGCCAGGACCACCCAGGCAATGTCCATCTTGCTCAGGCAGATGGTGGCTCTGTGCGCGTCCCCCTCGGCCACGTGGGAGACGTTCCCGGCGGGGCCCGGCTTCCAGGTGCCCGCGGGGACCAGGCGGTTGAGGAAGTTCCCTGTGGCCGTGGACACCGCTGTGGTCAGAGGACGGGGCAGCCGGGCGGTCACGCTGGCGGCGGCCACAGCCTCCTCCCCGGCCGACAGGGAGACAGTGCTTTCCGAGGGCCCGGGGGGCTGAGCCGGGGTTCCCAGGGCGGAGGGTGTCGCTGAGGATGTTCCCTGAGGAAGCCCCTCGGGAGGGGCTGAGACGCTGGCATCGAAGGCGGCCTGGGTGGGCCCCGGGGCGGCCCTGGAGCCCCCCGAGCTGGCGGACGGAGGCCGGCCGGTCCCAGGGGTGACAGCGAGCCCGGAGTCACTGCGGCTGGAGCTGCCGTGGGGGGCGCCGCGAGGGCGCAGAGAAGGCACTGGGGCGGGGGGCGGGCTGGCGGGGGCGCCTGAGTCCGTGGCGGCGTCCGGCGGCTGCCCTCCTGGGCTGGTGAGGGTCGGACCTTCCCCCTGATCCGCTCTGAGGCCCGGCGTGGCTTCCGTGCGCTCCGAGGGGGTGGTGCCCGGTGCCCATGTGGTCCTGCTGGGCGCCGTGGCTGCGGCCACGGTCTGGGTCTGTGGCGAGGAGGAGTGATTCCAGGGGGTGAGGGTGGAGGGCTCGGGCTCCGCGGACCCCATGGCGTTGCCTCTGAAGACGGGGAAGGCTCTCGCCGGGGGCTGCTTCTGCCCCAGGTGCACGGAGCTCTGGTTCCTGCCCCGTGGGCCTTCCTTTCTCCCCGAGGGGCCCCCGAGGGTGGGCAGGGCGGGGCGGGAGGAGGCGCCAGCCCCCCTGCGGGTGGAGCCGGCGGGTCTGGGGGGCCTGCGTGTGGCCCCCCGGGTGGGCGCTGGGCTGGGGCGGCTGGTGGCTGCAGGCGGATTTGTCATCGGGATGGTGGGCCCAGCCTCTCCCAGGGGGCGGCCCTCTGGGCGGGAGGAGGCTGGGGCCCTGGTGGCAGGAAGGGGCCCTGTGCTCAGGGGGCGGTTGGCGCGGTGGGCGGTGGCTGTGGCCACGGTGATGGAGGTGGTGTTTGCAGGAGGGTGTCCCTCTGGAGAGGGTGTTGCTGCTGCCACGGCGGCTTCGGCCTGTGAGAAGGGCCCATCGGGACGGGGGCTCAAGGTCACCCTGGAGGTGGCGGCCACCAGGGCGGAGCGGCCGGTGGAGCTGAGCGGTGGGGTCACCATGGTGCTGAGAGGCAGGACCTGAAGAGATTCCCTGGGAGTTGGTTCCTGGGCAGCAAATGCCAGAGCTTCGGTCAGCGCCAAGGTCAGGAGGAAGCCTGGAAGGGAGACAGAGGGCAGAGGTGAGATGCCGGGAGAGGCTGAGAATCTGTGAGCACGGAACTCAGGGGAGGCCCCGAGCATCTCCGAGGTCCAGCTGCAGCCCTGACTGCATGAGGCCGGTCTGTTAAGGAGGTGCCACCAGGCACTGCCAGGAGGAGACCCAGCCCAATGCAGAGCCAGCTAACGGCCGGGCGGGGCCTTCCTTCCCCAGATGCCTCTGACACGCCCCCAGCCCGCCCCCACTCATTTCCCAGAGGCGGGGAGGGAAGTGACTTGTCCAAGAACATACAGCTGGTGGGGGCCAGAGTCTGGATCTTAGTTATTATTTCAAAGCGACTTTCTATTTGCATCACAAAAACTACCACAATGTCACAATACCCAAACACCTCCAACCTCCATGTCACCTTCAGCATGAAAATCAGACCCAAGTTTACCTCTCCTCCTGGGCACGAAGGTTAACCACTGAGGGCCAAGGGCAGCACACTGTCACAGTAGCTGTGCGAGGCCTTCCTCTCGGCAGATGCAAATTTTCACCCAAGGCCCTTTGTGCTGGCCTGCTCACCCTGTTCCCCACAATCGGGGCTCCGGGCCTCTTTGCATATCATTTGCATTGTTTTGCATAATGGCCTCTGAGGTTCCAATTCCAAATATATAAGAGCGACGAAGACTAAAATCTAGCTTGACGTGCTTTAACTGTGGAACCGATTTTTAAAGGCTGTTGGGATAAAGACGAGAGTGTGCAGGGTGGAAACCCACAGATGGATGGGAGCCCAGATGTCCACGCAGGCCTCCTCCTACCTAGAATTTCAATGCATCCGTGATCCCAGGGCCCAGGGGGAGGAAAAGGCCCTGCTCCTTCTGTTTGTTTGGTCGGGTGCCCACTGTCCATATTGGGCATGCCATTTGCATCTGGCAAAGGCAAGGAGGGAACCGAAGAGAGCCGTGGCCACAATGAACTGAGTGCTTCCTGCACATCGCATGCTGCTCGCAGGGCTAGGCCTGTCCTGACACAGTCCTCACAACAACCCGGTGAGGCGGGTGCTATTAGCTCCCTGTGGTGCCCGAGGAAAAGCACAGAGAGGGGCAGGACCAGCCCACTCCCACTCAGCTGGGGAATGGCGGGCTGGGAGTTGAACCTGGCTGCCTGGCTCTAGGGTTTTATAGTCTCAACTTTCTCTCAATGCCCACCCTGCGGGCTGCTGGGTACAATCAAATGCAATGACCCACACTCTTTTGGGAACTGATTTTCCATCATCGGTCTTTGGACTCTTCTTCCCTCTTACCTGTGTTCTTCTTTCTCCATTTCAGGACCCTATAGGACACACAGGGTGTTCTTTGAACAATCCAGCCAATGAACTTTATTTCACAACTACCGTAGCAGGGGTGGGAGGAGGGACTTGGAGTAGTACAGTAAGAGGGCTAGAGATCCCTGCTCTAATTTTCTTCCCTTCCCGGAGCCTGGTATCCCACTGCTTAATTAATTAATTTAGGTAAAAATTTTTTCTCTTAAAATTGCTTACTCATACATACAAGGCACATAGATGCATTTTCCCTTACACATAGAAACAAGAGTTCTAGCTCATTTTCCTTGTGAGCTAAAACATGTTCTTCTAAGTAGAGCATCCCTCCCCATTAGACTAGGTTTCCACTGCCAGCGATTTCTCCAGTGCCTCTCACCCCCACGGCACCACTGAAGGCGTCTGAAAAGCCTTCTAAGCCACCCCTAAGCCAAGCAGCAGTAGGCCCTCCCCATGTGTGACATTTGCAAGTTCTTGGCACTCCTCTCACCGGGACATGGAGCTTGCCTCCCTCCCGTTGAACCTCGGTGGACCAGTGTGACCCCCTCGGAGCAGCACGGAGCAGAAGTGACGCCACAGGATGTCTGAGGCCAGACTAGAACGGGTCACACAGTTTCTGCAGGTTTCTCTTGGGGGCCTCAGCCCCATGTAGAGGCTGCCGTGTGGAGGGAGTGCAGAGACCACGTGGACAGTGAGAGGGGGCTCGGCTGCTCTAGTCCCAGCCAGGCCTCAGACATCAGAATGAAGAGCCGAGTGTGACCCCGGTCCAGCACGGCTGGATGGCAAACACACAACATGCCCCAAGTGGGAGCCCCCGGCTGAGCCCAGTCAACCCTAACGTTTGTGAATAAAATGACTTACTCCTTTCTGCCACTGTTTTTGGGGTGGTTTGTTGGCAGCCATAGATAACCAGGCATTTGGAAATGTAGCTTCTGCATCTGATGTTTCAACAACACAGCACACCGAGTCAACAACACAGCACACCCTCAGGGAGCCTGCTTCCTACAGGGCGGTGATGTGCAATCTTGCCAGGAAACGAGCTTTTGTGATTTCAAGAGGATCGTCTTTTGACTGGAAGGAACTTTTAATTAGGACTCTCTGATAGCTCACTCTCTCACCTTATGGATGAAAAGGCGGGAGCCCGACACAACCAAACAACTTGCCCTGGCCCAGGCCAGCTATACAAGGCTAGGGCTGTGCGGGACCTGGGCCAGCTCACTGCCTCCCAATCCCACTAGCAGCCTGCACTAACAGTGCTCTCCTTCCATCACTGTGACCCCAGTATCCCAGGGGCTCAGAACATCAATGTCCCCTTTCACTTTAAAGACCAAACATAAATTCATTCCTCGGAGCAGTTTCTCTTACTCAGAAATACAGAAAACTCATTACTGCAGGGTGAGTTGGGTGACTGCTCTTAAGTGGTACTCATGCCTGTGACCCTAGTTTTTTTTTAGGAAAGTGAGGTGTTTTAGGTGCAGATCTTTGCTGCCACCCTCTCTCCAGGCAGCCACATCCCAAATGTTCCCGTCCATCAAGTCTTGTTGGGCATGTGGCTCTGGCCACAGGGCTAAAGGTCAGGTTCTGCTTGTGCTTACAGCTACCCGAGGCCATCACCTGGATCCAGAAATGTCTGGCGATCACGGACTCAGCAGTTGAACAGATGAGGTCTATGACTGTGTTTCCCAGAGGACAACCTCAAAGCTCTACAAGCAAGAAATCCCTGTGAGATGGGGCCCGTGTGCCTCAGACACACCCGTGACCTCTAGCAAGTGTGAATTTACCTTGTGCTGCAGCTCTGGGGCTGACAGATCACAGCTCCCTAACAAAGACACATACATGCACATGTGAACACACACACACACACACACACACACACACACACCCCATAGGCCCTCTCCTGGGAGCAGGAAATAAGCAAAAACGATGTTTGCTGCCCAAGACTTCCCATCACATCCATGTTAACACGGTTAAGTCATTAGTCTACAGCCAAAGCAGCCACTAGGTAGCAGTGCTAGAATTTAAAATCCAGTTTCTCTGACCCTGGATGCTTGAGACCCTACAGACAGAGAGTTTTGATCCAAAGCAATGTCCCATGTGGGTAGGGGAGCGCTTTATGCAGACAGGCAGTGACATAACAGCTGTGATGATCCCAGTTAAAAACACAGCTCCCAGTGAGCGGTGGGTCTGTGTTCCCAGCTGGGACGTGGGTGGGTGGTGACGATGGCTGGGGAGATGCTACGTGACTGCTGAGGCCAGGCATAAAAGCGACGGCTCCTGCCCGGTCCCCATTCGTGGTGCTTGCTCTCAGAGGCCAGCACCACGCTGTGACGAGCCCAGGAAAAGGCCCAGGTGAAAGGAACGGAGGCCCTGACTTTCAATCCCAGCTGGACTTCCTGGGGACAGCCAGCATCGACTGTCGGCCACAGGATGAGCCACTGTAAGTAGGTTTTCCAGCCCCGGTTGAGCTCTCCCAGTGGGTCTTGGTGGAGCAGAGATAAGGGCCCCCTGCCCAAAGGACAGACTTATGAGCAAAATGAAAGATAAGTATTGTTAGGCTGCAAAGGTTTGGGGTTTGCTAGGCAGCGACAGTGATGGGAACACCCTCTATGCAGAAGGGAAGCTGCTGCTCGTCCACTGGCCACTCTGGGGTTCGACGCCAATCTCTAGTGCCGGCGCTCAACAGGCTAATTTGGATTTGGACCCCCTACTGGCCTCTGCTCCTCCTCAGATTCAGGAAAGGGAAACACCTGATTCTGGGCTCTTTCTATAGCATCATGGTTGCTCTGTCTACAGCTTCCAAGGAAGAAAGGAGCAAATGTGTCCTAGGAATGCCATGAAGCTTCTGGCGTGCGTGCACTTTGTGGGCTGGGAGGAGGCTAAAGGCTGGTGCATGGAGCTCACACGTTGAAGGCATGACTTTAATATGTGTATGTATGTAGTGTATGTATAGAGCATGTGGAGTCCACACATTGAAGACATGGCCATTTCCTTCATGGAGCTGCCAATTTACAAGGGAAGGAAATCAACTATGACAGTGGCACACACTCACACAACAAAGATGTTCCCTCAAAGACTTCCGCCAAACAATGAGTATGAGAGTCAGAATGAGATGCCTGAAAAGGTCGACTTGGCTTCTAATATAAGAACAGGATCCTGCCCAAACCGGTTTGGCTCAGTGGATAGAGTGTCGGTCTGCGGTCTGAAAGGTCCCAGGTTCGATTCCGGTCAAGAGCATGTACATTGGTTGCGGGCACATTCCCAGTGGGGAGTGTGCAGGAGGTGGCTGGTCAATGTTTCTCTCTCTATCCCTCTTCCTTCCTCTCTGTGGAAAATCAATAAAATATATTAAAAAAAAAAAAAAAAAAGAACAGGATCCTTAGCATTCAGGGAACATCTCGCTGACATCATGGGAAAGAACACAAATGCACCAGTCCAGACTGCCCTGAGTTCTCCCAAATAAAAGGAAAAGGCTCATAAAAATGTCCCATGCTTTGCAGCACAAAACCCAACAAACACTACCTCAGCCAGGTGACCAAGGTCAATGCCAACAGCGATGAAGTCACGGCGAGTACCCTTCATAGGAAAGTGGCACTTAACCTTGGCAGTTTCCCCTCATCAAACCCCTAGCCCCGGTCTAATCATAAGGAAAACACTTAGCCCAATTAAGGAACATTCTAGAAAATATCTGACCAGTACTC